TTTCCTAGCGACTAGACCCCTGATGATTCCGGTAGTGGCAGCCGGATGAAACGCAGCGTAGGGTCGCTGCGCCAGTGCTTCACGCTTATATCTTTTTGATGTATTCGACGGTGTTTTTTGGTTATCTAACGGCCGAATGGTCGCGTTTCGGGAATATCTGGGATGAGCTTCTTCTCTTTCCTTCTTTGGTACCTTGTCTTCTTCGCTGTCGACGTCGTCTCCCTCTCTATCCCCTCTCTCTCTCTCTCTCTCCTCTCTTAGTTGTCCTTTATCAGTTTGATTTGATGAATGCTAGGAGGAAGCTTGTCTTTATCCACCTTCCAAGGCTGGCAACTGCGCCCTTGCAAAGTGCCCTGCCACTTTCACTATACCGCCAAGGCCAGAACTTCGGCTTGCGTGGCCTTCAGATATATCACCATAGAGAGCAATCAGCCTCAGTTGGTTAGGCACACAAGTGCCATTCAGGATGTCGTGGGTTGGATCCCCAGTGACCGCCTGGGGCATGCTTGGTGCCTACCAACTGAGATAGTTGGCTTGCTCCCCCGAATTGGTATTGGTAGGGTCTTTGACCATCACATGTGTGGTGGTATGTGGGGTTGTGTGTGGTGTGTCGGAGAGGGCTGACCATAGACAGCGCTGTTACTCTATGGGTCTGGGGGAGAAGATGGGAGGCACAGCTACTTGCAAAATGGTTGGTCTTTGCACCAGCCGGTCTCCCCCAGCAGCAGCCCATCCTAGTCCCTGACCACCGCGGATGAGGGCGGGGGGAAACATGCATCCCTTGATTGTGAGAGGTACCTATTTTTGCAGGGCTCTCCTGTATAGGTAAGGGTACCTATTTTTGCAGGGCTCTCCTGTATAGGCTTAGTAAAAGATAAAACGGAGATAAGAATATAGATATCATCATGGCAGTTATCGGCCTCGGGTAATTCAGAAGTATTCTTTCCATTCATCTAGGTCCATCAGACTTTCGAACTGCGCTAAGCTCGTTGGTGAAACTCCAACTCTTGTCCGCAATCAAATTCTAGAAGAGTCGACTAATAAGAAATGCTGACACCAAAATGGCGACCTTTACTTACCGTAGTTCAGCTTCTTGTCCACCGCACGCCCATTCTTTACCTTCTTTCTCACTTCTGTCTTCAACAGTGGATGAACCATGATCAGCATGGTAGCGCACCCAACATTCTCTCTCTCCCTCTCTCTCTCTCTCTCTCTCTCCCAACATTCTCTCTCTCCCTCTCTCTCTCTCCCTCTCTCTCTCTCTCTCTCTCTCTCTCTCTCTCTCTCTCTCTCTCTGTGTGTGTGTGTGTGTGTGTGTGTGTGTGCGCGCGCGCGCATTTGTGTGTATGTGCACGCGGGTATGTGTGTGCACGTGCGCCTGCACATAGTGGGTTTTATGGCTGTAACAGATTAGTTTCTCAGACTTGCTGCTGTACTGGTCAAGGGTTTGGACCGACAGTGTGCTAGGGTTGCAGGGTTGGTGTGATTGAAGTCGACCACTTTTCTTAAGGGTATCGCTAACTCTGGGCGACATGGTGAGTCCTTATCCTTCAGTCAAATGCAACCGGGGGCAATGCCGATGATGGATTCGATTCCCAGATTACTTACCGCTGATGGCAATTACTTACCGTTAATGGATACGATTCACAGATTTGGTTAAAGTGCTTCCTGGATCGGGGGCAATGCCGTGAGTTTAAACTCTCGTTTTCTTTCTGTGAATGAAAATTGAGGTTTTCTTGTTTTTTGAGGAGATTGGTAGATGTAGCTGGCTGCCTTCTGCTACCACGCGCTGGTAGACAGGTGGAGGGCGCGGGGGGGGGGGGAAGGGGGCGGTTGGGACCCCCACTGTAAGAACTTGTATTGCTAGGGGTGTTAGTAGGCGTGGGGAGGTAGATTCGAATATAGTACATGATGCTGCTTGCTTGAAATATGGAGGACCTTTGGTTCCTGCACAAACTAGAGGCTTTGCTAACGCCTCTACTGCGATCTGCGCTTGAATCCGGCCGGTGATGCTGGGTTCTTTGCCTGTGATCGCCCCGACTGATTCGAGGGAGGCCAGGCCCGTGGTCCGATCTGCGTATGGCGAACATGACAGCATACAGAGGGGAGAGGTAGGTGCGCGAGGGGCAAGAGAGAGGGCGGGCTGAAGGCATTGAGGAAAGCCCGGGGAAGGCGTGCTCTGCAGAAAACGGAATGCAGCAGGAGAAACAAGTTGAAGGAGAACAAGAGCCACGGAGCCCATGAAGGCAAATGATGGCGTGAAGGTCATTTACCGCATACCTTCGTCGAGGAAGAGGAGTACGAGATCACCGGGCAGCTCGAGCGACCGATAAACACAATGTTCCCTCCAGCGTACTGATCTTGGGAAAATCGCTTTCCGTACAGAGTGACGACCGTGCCTCCCGTTAACGCGCCGGTGCTAGGACTTACTCGGTAGATTGTCGGTGGCTCCAGCGGCATAGCTAACTCCGTCCGCTGAGCTTTCACAGCTCTCAGTAGCTTGGGCCATTGCCCCCAACCCCCGTTCGCGCGACTAGTTGCACAAAAATGATCCTCCTCGTCAATCCCCACGAAGAGGCATAAGAGGGTAAGCATCACCAGATAATAATTCATGATCATCGATCGCATCATTGGCATTCGACTGCTCGTACGACGCTGCGACAGCGGCGGCGGGCTGGCAGTGCGTGGTGCTTCGACTTCCTCAACTAAGTTTATCCTCGCATTCGCCCCAGCACATCCTCTGGGATTCACCAAGATGCGACGACAATTTCCGACCCTCTCTCCCTCCATGCTGGCGTTGCCCCTGCTGATAAAGCCGCAAGAGAAAGGAGGGAGAAATTACTCCGGCAGTCAATGACACCTCAGACGACCTCTTCCATCATCACTGGAGGTCAGTCGAGAAGCGCACATTTTCCTGCAAGAAAAGCCTCGCAGGAATCCCTCCCGTCGTTCCCGCCCCTCCCCCCCCCCCCCCCCCCCCCCCCCCCCCTCTCTCTCTCTCTCTCTCTCTCTCTCGCTCGCTCGCTCTATTTTTGTGTGTGTTCCGAGTGCGCTCTGTGGCTGATGGCGCAGCATACCAAATCGTTAGATGAAGCTCAGAAAACGACTCCCCAATGCGCACGGCGCCTAAGGCAAACAAGAGGCACTACCCCCTTGCACTGTGTCCGCAATCCCCCACGAAAACAGGCCTTCCAGACAGATGTCCTTTGGACAGATCAAAAGACGGGAGCCTACAGAGTCGATCACCGCACTCCTGTTAAAAAAAAATCACTCCCGAAGAGTTCTCTCAAGAAAACAGGGAAAACTGAATCAAGATTCGCGCCTGCTTTCGACATCTTCTGGCACGGAATAAGCAGACACATGATAGGACATAAAAACACATTTCCGAGCAAGGAAATAATTCCCAAAACCAATGCCTAAACCATCTCCGGAGCTGCCATTGATCTCGACATCCAACGAGGATGGAGCACCAAATGGCTCCAATGTAGACCCGCAGCAGCACACAGATCCGCGTGCCTACATCCAGTCAAGGACCCACCCGTTGCTAATCACTTAACCATATTCTTCGATCATGCAGCTGCCGATCCGTCAGTTAGCCAGTCAATGATGCGCGACCACTTGGCAGATGTCCATCACTGAGCTCGCATTTTTCTCCAAATAGAGACCCCAACGCAGTCGTAATGCCAATTTGTTCTATTCAGACGGACTCGGCAGCAAGAAAGGAGTAGCCGCCAGATGCTTCCCAGTGGGACCCGAGAATAGTGGTGAGCCCAATTTGTTCTATTCGGAGAGACTCGGCGGCAAGCAAAGAGTAGCCTCCAGATGCTTCTCAGTTCGCCTAAGCCATCGATGACGCCTGCACGGAAAGGTCGACAAGAGGCTCAGGCAAGCGCGCCCCACTGCAGGGGCTTGCGCAGAAACACAGAGAGAGAGAGAGAGAGAGAGAGAGAGAGAGAGAGAGAGAGAGAGAGAGAGAGAGAGAGAGAAAGAGAGAGAGAGAGAGAGAGAGTCGGAAACGGAATCGCGGTTTCTGACTGGCGGTAGCTTCCAGATAGCCAGCAGCGAGTCGCTAATCAGCCAGCATTCATCTTAAACATCTGGGGTCTGTTCTAAACAATGACGGGCGTTATCAACCGACGATCCAATGACATCTCTAACGTGCGGATTGTTCAGGACGATGGGCGTCAACATCACTGACAGAAAGAAGCGTCATCGCCCTGATAATGTCAAACATCCCGAATTAGTCGATTACGTCTCCCTTTCGCCGGTACAGTGTACGGTTAGCAGCCCCTGTTGACGCGTTGCCAAGAGGAAGAGAATTATGGCGGTGGCGTCGCGCGTGCGATGGCCATTTCTGAAGCGGATCGAATTCGCAGCGTCGGAACACTGCGAGCACCCAGTCAACGGTGCCAGAACCTCAGCGGAGAAGACGTCGCTCTGTCAGTCCGTCGGATGTGCTAAGCGTGGGCCTCGCTGCACTACTCTCGAAATGTGCAAAACGAGAGCGAATCTTCCGCTAGAATATGGAAACATGCACGGCCATGATTTTTGTCTTTTATGCATGTCGAGAGTAGTGCAGCGAGGCCCCATGTTGCCCGCAAGTGGATCAGCGCTCGATGAGAGCCCGCGTCCGACCCGGAGAGCAACGCCAGGGGGTTCCAACAGTGCTATAATAGGGATGGCAACGGCGGGGATTCATCTGTCCATGCACGAGAGAGAGGCCTTTTCCCAACTATGGTAGTTGCCGAGACATGGCGCTGTCCTTCGGGACATCCGTTAAACCACCAGTACCTCGCTCAGCTATCGAGTCCGAAGCTCGGACTACCGGTAGCCCGATGATTCCCGAGCCTCGGACTTTATGGCCGAGCCTCGGACAACCGGTAGGACATCACAGAAACAAAAAAAAACAAAAAAAAACAAAAAAAAAAAACAAAAACATTACATTCAACGTTCAGCAAAAGAAAAAA